GAAGTCTACTCCACAGCAAAGGCAGAAACCAAGATCTGCTATTACTACTGTACTCCTAAGCCTTCCATGGTTAATGCCCCCAAATTAAGGGCTAAGCTCTTTCAGCATGACAATCAAAGACACAGTCTCAGTGTCATTTTCTTCTTTCCTCCCATAGGCCCAGCTCCAACATTACACTCTGCAGTAGCTACTCGGACATCCCAGAAGGAAGAACCTGTGTCCTCTGACCCCAAAAGACACGTACCTTACCTCCTTTATTAGATCAGAACATCTTAAAGGCAGGCACTACTCCTTATTTACCTCAGTCTTTTCAACTGTGCATAGCATGATAGCAACGTGAATATGCTCTAAACCCTTTAAGCCTTCTGTATACAGGAAATACCAAATGCTCCATTTGGTGAGGCAGCAATGTGCCGTCTATACTTGTTTATAGTCTAGTATAAAAGAGGACTTTTTCCCACACAAAATAATTCCTTCAAATATCACTATATTTATACTTCGGTTCACAAACTTAATTCATTCCACAATTCTGGAAAAGACAGCCACGCATGTGTTTGTGCAGGAAAGACACTGCAGTCTCGCTCATCACCTGATGCAGAGTTTGCAAACAAAAATGAAATTTTGCCAAACGCTTCTGTTCGCAAACCAAATTGTTTATAAACAAAAGTGTTCGTGAACCAAGGTACCACTGTAATTGTGCAAAATAAGCTACTTTCAATACTCTCCGAGAACTGGGTTTTTACGGGAAAGCTGTGCTGAATCAGTAATTTTCAAGGTCTGAGAAAGGCCTGAGGTCATTCACCCCTCAAATTTTACAGCCCAGGAAACCAAGTCCCAGAGGGTAACATAGTCAACCCCAGGGTCACAGCTGTCCAGTCATGAAACCTGAGGCAAATCCCCTCAGTTCCAGTGTAATATGGTTCTTTTCCTCTATGACCCATTACCCCGTCAGTTTAAAAAATAAAATGTAATCTATGCACATCTGTTTCTAGGCCCAATGATTACCTAGGGCTTGGCACTTGGTGGGTGGTCAGACAGTCTACAGATACTGGTGAATGAACCACTGAACACCCCAGGCTTTTGGATCACTAAAACAGGCCTAATATTAAATATTTCAAAGCACCAGACAATTGGCCTCGTAGGAGAAGCAGCCTAAAAGAGAAAGCAGAAAAAACACCACAAGAGAACAAAGAATTGAAAAGGAACATAAAATATATACCAAATCCTATAAAAATAACTACACTATGCAATGCAACATTTTGGTGATAGGAAATCTAGTACAAAAGAGAATCAAGTTCCTAAGAGATAGTTTCCTAAAGAAGATGTATACAGTGATTGCCCACCCACCTACCTGCAGGGGATACTTTGCAAGATTTCCCAGAGGATGCATGGAACTGTACAGTGTTTTCTTCCTAGAGATACATACCATGTTAGTTTAATTTATAAATTGGAAGCAGTAAGAAATCAGCAGCAACTAGTAACAATATATTGTAACAAAGCTGCGTGAAGGTGCTTCTCTCACTTTCACCTTTGATTGCTCATGGCACTCCAGTATTATTCTCAGACCATGCAGGTAAGTGAAACTGAGGAACGCAAAACCGTAGGCAGATGGGGGAAGCCAACTATTCGAGTAAATGGCCAGCAAGCACATGCATGGCGCTAAACAGTATTAGTCATTAGGGAAATACAAGTCAAAACCACAATGAGATACTGCTTTACACTTATTAAGATGGCTACAATTAAAATAAAAACAACAACAAGAAGTGAAAAATAACCAGTGTTGGCAGGGATGTGGGGAAACTAGAACCCTCAGACATTGCTAGTGAGAAGGGAAAATGATTCAGCTGCTGAAGAAAGCACTTTGGCAATTCTTCAACAAGTTAAACAGTTCCCATGTGACCCAGGATTCTACTCAGCTGATAATAGGTGTTCAAACAAAAAATTCAGCATGATTGTTTGGCACTACTATTCTCAACAGCCAAAGGTAGAAACAACTCGCTATCCATCAACAGATGAACGTATAAATACGTAACATATACATACAAAGGAATATTATGCAACCATAAAAGGAATAAAGAACCAATACATGCTACAACATGGATGAGGCTTGAAAACAGTACACTAAATGAAAGAAACCGGAGACAAAAGGCCACATATTCTAAGATTCCATTTATATCAGTGTCCAGAATAAGCCAATGGACAGAGACAGAAAGCTGATTAGTGGTTGCCAGGGTAAAGGGGGAATGCGCAGTGAGTGATTAATGGGTACAGGTTTCCTTCTGGGATGATAAGCTCTGGAACTAGACAAGTATGATAGTTGGGGAACACTGTGAATATACTGTCATTGCTTTGCACACTTTAAAACGGTCAATTTTATGTTATTTTGCTCCAAGAGAAAGTGAAAATCAAGTCCTTATAGTGCTAGGTCTTTAGAAATATCTTTTATGAAGACATACACTGATAGCCTGGCACAAGGTGCATGTCTGCAATACTAGATATTCAGGAGGCTGAGCAGGAGAATCACAAGTTCAAGGCCAGGTTGGGCAAATTAGTGAGACCCTGTCTCAAAATATGGGTATGTAGCTCAGTGGTAGAGCACCTGCCTAGTATGCACAGGGCCCTGGGTGTCAATCCCCAGGACTGCAAAACAAAACAAGCAAACAAAAAACCCCCAAAGATGTGCGTTCCTAAAGAGCTAGCAGATCCCTCCGCAATAAGGCAAGATGGTACGCTTTACGCACTCTATGCACCCTTCCTCACCGCACAATGAAATTAACGTCGCTGGCCTAGAAAGGGATAAGGACATTATGCAGGGATGCAGCTTCACCAGGGTCCTTCCCAGATGTGCGGTTACCAGTGATACCTCTATGGTGACACTACCAGTGCAGAGTGCAGTGCCTGTGTGGCCAGAGGCTGTCCGAGAGTGGCCAGCAGGCTCGCTGCTCCTCGAGAGGGGACTGTCGCAGGCTGTCAGGGCAGAGCTGCCATGCCCGGCCTTCATGGAGAGCACGAGCCACCAGAAAGTACAGTGGAAACTGAAAAAGAACACTGCCCTTCACCAGCAAAGGAAGAGCTCAAGTTCTGGGATGCTCCTAGGATTCCCCTGGCACATCCCAAATGACCTCGATGCCACTGGCAGCTGTCCCACAACACTGCTAAGATGGACTTGAACTTTTTGTTCTGCAGGACTCCCTGTGCTTAGCTTTCTTCCACCCAAGCCTTTCCCTTCTCTCCCTTCAGGTTTCCAGGCTCCACTCTACCTCTGTAGTTATCTGAGCTGATCTTCAGAATCAACACAGGGTGCCAACTACAGGCTCCTTAGGTGCTGAGAACTTTTGAGTCGTTTCAGGAGCTGATAAAGGAAGGCTTACTTGATCTGCTTTTAATCAGTTTGGGCCATATGGCTGTTATCTGGAAGTGTGTGTATGTCCAATAATGAGTCAGGACTCAGCACATTTTAAGTGGTCAGTCTATAAATATTGCTGAACGAATTAATGAACACGCCAGGGCTGCAGGCAAATATCCTCTGCACCGAAGGGAAAGTCAAACATGCTCAACTGTTCTTAAAAGCATCATTACTCCTTTCAAGTTGATTCTCAATTATCACTCTAATTCTGAATTTCTGACGTTTAGTAATGGAGAAAATGCGTTACTTTTAAATGATCCGTATCCAAAATTTTCAAAAAGAAGCTCATTTGAAGTGCTGTTTACCAAGGAATATATCCAATCACTTATAAATGAGTATTACTAGTCTGGCCAAGAAAATATACAAGATTCCTCCACACATACGCTGTCAAGTCTGGCAAGAAAGATTTTAGACAACTTCGTCCTTCCCAACCAATCCCAAGTAAATAGGGCATTTGTTTGTATTTCCACACTGGCTGCATGAACGAAAATACCTCCTCCACCTAAGAAAACAATCTGTAACATTCAGACATGAAACTCTGAGGACTAAATTTTAGTGCATACTAGAGCCCTAAGCATATAGTGCTTAAAAAAATTAAGCAAAAAAATATTTTTAATACAGATTCTCCTGTGAGCATTTTCCTCAAGTTTACACTTACACCTGGTTTGGTGTTTTATACCTTTCAGAAATAAAGTTTTTAAAAAGTTGTTCATTAAAATTGGAAGCAGACAGAATCTCCTTCCTACAGTCTCCAGCAAAAGACATGACCATTTTATCCTTTTTAGGAGTAAAAAGATGCACAAAATCATTTTTCTTTACTCTTCAGGTTTTCTGCTTTGCACCAACTAGGTTCGGGCAAACAATTCGAAGTTTTCTCAGGTTAGTTCTCGCGGTTAAGAAGACAAAAAACCCCAAAAGCTAGATCCTGAATTTGGACTCCGTAAAATAATACTGGGAAATTCCAAAGCTTTGGAGGAATACTGGAGTTTACTTTATTGCCTTTTGTTAAACCGTATCACCTCTGCCACGTTTTCTTCTCATTTTTTTAGTCCCTCGCCCGGGTTCCCTGGACAGGCCGTACACGTTCCTGCGTGATCCAAGTATCTGGCGGGCCGCGGCTGACATACACCTACTGATCCTGTCGCGCAGGACCGCGGCCCCGCAGGTGCCTGGGCCAATCCAGGACCCACGCCCCTCTCCGCAGCGCCGGGGACCGCGGTCCCGGGTGGGAAGTCGGGGGCCGGCGCCCTCGCGGGGAACCGGGGCAAGGCGCTGGGGACAGCTCGGCGCCCGAAGTTCAAAACACGCCACAAGCCCCTACGCCCCACTCCCACAGGAAACCCGAGTCGGAAACAGCGCGCCGTTCCCAGTGCCCGACTCTGAGATCCCGAAGAGGCTGGCGCTTCCCGGCGCGCTCTCGGCGACCTTGGGGCCGCAGGGGCCGCAGGGGCGCAGGGGCGCGGGATCTCCCGACCCGGGACGGGGGCACGTCCGGGCGCCGCCGCACCTCCCTGCCCAGTCCCCTGGACTCGGTGCGACCGGATTGGGGACACCGCGGCGCGCAACCTGCCCGGGGCCCGAGGAGCGCACTCACCTGGCCGGAGCCCCTTCCAGGGACAGCAGGTGCCCACGCGGACCACGACCCGGAGCCCAGCGCCGGAGCCTCCCCGAGTCCGCGCGCCTCGCCAACTGCCGGACCGCCCCGCGTGCTCCCAGCTCCCGGACGCGGGTTCCCGGACGCACGCTGCGCGCGCGCCCGCCCTCCGCACTTAAAGGGCTAGGCCCCGGCGCCCCAGGTGTCCCGGAGGCCGCCTCTCGGAGGTCCTCATACGGTGGTGTGAGGTTTAAATTGGGGGACAATCAGTCCCAATTCCGATCTCGAGTTTCCCTCTCCGATTTGCGTTTGGAGCTCTGAATGAGACAGGACTCCTCCCCCTATCCCATCATTAGCTTTGAGAGGCTATATATTTTACGTAATGATAACAGTAACTACCATTCGTTGAATATTTATATACAGACATCATTTCATTTAAGTTTTAAAACAATTCTTGGTTTCTTTCCTTTCTTTTTTAACCATACACTTAGTTTTTTAACACACATACAAATTGTACGCATCTGTGGGGTACCATGTGATGTTTAGATATATGCATACATTTATCGTGTCCAAATAAGGATACGCATATCTAGCTCTTCAAACACTTATATCTTGGTGATGAAAACATTCAAAACCTTTTTTCTAGCTTTTAAAAATTCTCTGGTTTAAAGAAAAAAAAAAAAAAATCCTCATGTTCCCTGGGGAATAAACTGGGGTTCGGAGAGCTGAAGAAGCTTGTCCAAGAGTTTTTGACCCCCTCGTTATTTTCATCTTTATCACTGTGGAAATATCTACTAAGGTTACTAGCTAGCTGTGGGAGGCTTTTGTAAGTGAATGGAAGTTAATGTTACCCATGTTTCAGAAAGGTGGAACAACTTGCCAGGGAAGGAGAAAGCAAGGCATATAGGATTTTATTAGTTGTAGGGTTTGCAATACACTGGAATGGCAAACATTATAACAATCTTTATTCCAAAAATATTTGTGTTGATTTCATTTCACAGAAAACTAAGGAAGCGGCTGGCTGCAGAGAATGATTGAGTCACACACCTTCCAGGGCTAAACCTAATTCCTTAGTCCTTAGATCATTTCTTTGCCCTCCCCAGGAACAGATACCTGATTAAAGGGAAGAAAACATTTTCTCTAATAACACATTGGCCTCACCTAACTCTCTGCATCTTTAATTAATGTTTACAAAGCGCTTTAATCTACTCAACATGCTGGTTAATTAGCCAAGCATTATTATCCCCCTCTTTCTGAACCAAATCCAAGAGAGAATCAATTCTGACAGTTCCTAATCCTTGGTGAATACTAGACCTAAGCTTTCCGATTATGATTTTTCTCTCTTAAACTTTTGTCCCATGGTGTGTTAATTATGGTTGCTTTCATTATGAAGTCCATTAGTAAAAAGTAATAATAGGTAACAGTTGTTTTAAGGAATTCAGATGATAGAGAATGAAAGACGCTTTGATAAGTGTTTTCCAGAATTGTTTTTTCTGTTTTATTACTGTTCTTTTTGCTTGATTAAGCTTTTATGGTGAAGAAACAGTAAGAAGGAAGAAATATTGAAGAACGATGTTATTATAAAGGAAGAAAGGGAAAAGAAAAAGGAAAAAAGGGGGAGAGTGAATAGGGACAAAAATGAGGCTCAGAGGAAAGTTTCAACCCAGAGATATTAGAGGAAATAACACCAAATCTTTGTGGGAATTATAATCAGGTGGTTTTTCCTGTGAGCTGGTGCAAACCTAGCCAGGGATTCATCTTAACTACTGAGCACAGACTGACAAATAATTTTGATGCACACCATGTCAAGGAACTTTTGTAAACACACAACACATAAAAAGGGATTATGTGGGCTGGGGATGTAGCTCAGTGGTGCCACCCAACAAGGTCCCGAGTTCAATACCTGGTACCCCCCCCCCCCAAAAGGGATTATGTGGTGAGATAGGACACACAAAATGAGGTAAAAAAAAAAAAAGAAATGAGTTAAAGGGTGAAGTTAAAAACAGTTATTCACAAAAGTACTCAATGTCTTGGGAGGAAAAATGAAGTCTGTAAGTCTTTGTATATAGTACTGTATTGTTACTGCTTTAAAACTCATGAAATTCACAATATTTCAGTTTAAATTTACCTAGCTTGCTTTTTTTTTTGGCATTGGGAATTTCTGAACCCAGGCCTGACACGTGCTAGACGAGTGCTCTGCCACTGAGCTACACCCCTAGACTCCACTTGATGTTTTACTAAATGCCTTCTGACGGTCGTTTTTGCTAGGAAAATGACGATGATATGTGCTGTAAGTTGACACCTGTAATGTCCCCCAAAAGGCCCATGTATGAAAGGCTTAGTCCCTAGCCTGTGGTGTTATTGGGGGGTGGAACCATTAAGAGGTGGGACCTAGTTGAAGGAGGTTGGGGCGTGTCCTGAGGGGATATTGGGACCCCACCTCTTCCTATCTCTCTGTACTTCCTGGTATCCCTGAGGTGAGCAGATGGTTCTGTCCTGTGCTGTCACCATGACGCCCTGCCCGCCAGGAGACTAGAAGCAACATGGCCGATGTACTACGGCCCAAAACCTCCAAAACAGCCAAAATAAACATTTCCCCTTTAGCGCGTTTATCTCAGTGATAGAAAGGTAACTAACCTACTATGTGAGTCCCAAAGAGTTACTTGCATGAATTTTGACTAAGTTAAAATTTTAGAAGAAAGCTTTAAAAATTAAGCTCAATTAAGCTCAGTGGCTCCGGAGCCTGCCTCGCAAGCGAAAGATCTGAGTTCAATCCCCGGTACCAAAAAAAAAAAAAAAAAAAAATTAAGCTAAATATGTTTTTACTTTATAAGGCAGTGGTCACATGCCACATAACCACATTTCAGTCAACAACAGGACATGTATGACAGTGGTCGCATAAGATTGTATTGCCCCATAAAATTGTAGCTGCCCTAGTTTGTGTAAGTACACGCTATGATGTTCACACAATGACAAAATCACCTAATGACCAACTCTCAGGATATATCTGGTAGTTAATTGGCACTTGTCATTAAATGGCACTTGATTATTACTGAGTACAATTGACTTTGGAAACCGTAATATCTGTGATGGCCGTTAGAGGAGCGCATACTGGAAAGGGAAAGTCATTAGTAAGCAAATTTTATGGTTTTTTTAACTAAAAAATTATAGCACTTTAGGGCTGAAAGAGCAGATATAAAGATAGGATTTTGATGTACGCTTCTTCTGCTTAAATCTGTTGCCTTAAGCTGCTTATCCTTTGTAAGCCTCAGTTCCCCATCTGTATAAGGCTATTATCAGTCTGTGAGGGTAAAACAAAATTATTGTCAGGTTTTTTAGAGCAAGCCGGGCGTGGTGGCACATGCCTATAATCCCAGCACTCTTGGAGGCTGAGGCAGGAGGATCACAAGCCCAGCATGGGCAGCTTAGCCACTGAGCAAGGCCCTGTCTCAAAATAGAAAAAAGGGCTGGGGGTGTAGCTCAATGTGAAGGCCCTGGGTTCAATTCCTGTACTAAAAAAAAAAGTTTGTCAGAACAAATAATACATAAGAAGATTTTTTTTTAATTATGAAAATGAAGATAAATATGGGAAATTGCCCTAGTTATTATTAAAACATACCACATGTTGTAATGATGAAAAAAATAAAAATAGAACAGTATAACCCAGGAAACAGCAGCGTACACAGTAATGTGTGATAATAAAATCATTTCAGGTAAATGAAAAGGGGATTTTCAATAAATGAAGTTGAGAGAACTAGTAAATTGAAAGAATAATTAGGTTAAGCCCTTACTTTTCATCACTTGCTGAAAGAAATTTCAGCTACATTAAACAATTTTAAAACTAGGAGAAAAGTTTAGGCAAATATTTATATGATCTCAAGATGAAGGACGATAAGAATTGGTAAAATCAGGAAGGAAACGACCATTAGACTGTTACATGCCAAGTGTTACTATGGGAAAGGTCTCAGAGAGCCAACCATGACCAGCAGGGGTATATTCTTTTTTTTTCTTCTGGTACTGGAGTTTGAACTCAGGACCTTGTGCTTTTGAGGCAGGTGTGGTGCCACTGAGCTAAATCCCCAGCCCAGCAGAAGTATATTCTTAAGATGAGTATATACAAATTGATAAGAAAACTCTAAGAACGCAATGGGAAATTTTTCTTAATGACAAAATAAGAATGTTCAGTAATTATCTCCCCGTGTGTGTGTGTGTGTGTGTGTGTGTGTGTGTGTGTGTGTGATTCTAAAATGTTTGGACTACTTAGTAATTTGAAAAATAAAACATTTTAAATGATATACATTATTTTCACCTACAAAGATATTTTGGGCTACAAAAGATATTTTAAAATTCTAATATTCAATACTGACAGAAGTGTAATCAAATGGGCAATGTTATATACTGCTAGTGACAACATAAGTTGATATAACTATGAGAAAGCAATTGTATGAAATATTTCAAGAGCTTAAAATGTTTATATCCATTGAGTGTAAAATTGTCTATCTCCTGTGGAAATAATCATAAAGATTCATGCATAAAAATGTACAGTATCTCCTTTTTTATACTATGTATCAGAAAATTAGAAATAATCAAAGTATCCAAAATGAAGGAAAAGTTTAAATTATTATGCAGCTATTAAGAATAAGGACTTTTGGGCTGGGGATTTAGCTCAGTGGTTTCACAGCCTGCTGTGCAAATGCAAGGACCCAAGTTCCATACCCGGTACCAAAAAAAAGACAGAGAAGAATAAGGACTTTTGGGGCCGGGGATTTAGCTCAGTGGTTTCGCCAACTTTTTGTGCTGGAGATTTAGCTCAGCAGCACTGCACCTGCCTCACAAGCACAAGGTCCTGAGTTTGATCTCCAGTACAAAAAAAAGGGAAAGAATAAGAAATTTTTAATGAAAACAAGAAAACACCTAATGTAAACTTTGCATTCATTTTTCTTGCAAAAAATTATTTGTGATCTGTGTGTTGAGTATTTCTCTAGGTAAGTTCTCAGAGACACAACCATGCACAGCAGAGGTAAGTTCCTGCATGTAGCTCAGTAAGGGTTGGGGGAATATTGACAAGAATCAGTGAGAGTATGCAGTGTTTATCTTTTTGTGCCTGGTTTATTTCATTTAACATGACATCCTTCAGGGCCATTTATATTGCTAAAAATGATATAATTTCATTCTTCTTTATGAATGAATAATACTCCATTTTGTATATTTACCACATTTTCTTTATCCATTCATCTGTTGGTGGACACCTAGGCTATTTCC